GGTCAGGAGATAGAGAGCATCCTGGCTAACATGGTGAAACCCCGTCTACTAAAAATACAAAAATTTGCTGGGCATGGTGGTGCACGCCTGTAATCCCAGCTACTGGGGTGGCTGAGGCACGAGAATTGCTTGAACCTGGGCAGTTGCAATAAGCTGAGATCGAGCCACTGCACTCCAGCCTGGTGGCAGAACGAGACTCCTAACAAAAAAAGAAACGATACCCGAGGCTGGGAATGGTGGCTCATGCCTCGTGTTAGTCACTTCTCCTATTGCTATCAAAAACTGCCAGAGACTAGGTAATTTGCAAAGAAAAGAGGTTTAACTGGCTCGTGTTTCTGCAGGCTGTACAGGGAGCATGGCTAGAGTGCAGTGGTGCGAGGAAACTTATAATCATGGTGGAAGATGAAGGAGGAGCCAGCACTTCACATGGCTGCAGCAGGAGGAATGAGAGAGAGGGGAGGGGTGCCACACACTTGAAAACAACTAGTTCTCACAGGAACTCACTCTCATGATGACAGCTCCAAGGGGGATGATGTTAAACAATGAGAAACCGCCCCCAAGATCCAATCATCTCCCACCAGGCCCCACCTCCAACACTGGGGATTACAATTGAGCATGAGAAGCTGGGCGAGGTGGCTCACACCTGTAATGCCAGCATTTTAGGAGGCCGAGGCAGGTGGATCACCTGAGGTCAGAAGTTCGAGTCCAGCCTAGCTAACCTGGTGAAACCCTGTCTCTACTAAAAATACAAAAATTAGCCAGGCACAGTGGCAGGTGCCTGTAATCCCAGCTGCTTGGGAGGCTGAGGCAGGAGAATCTCTTGAACCCAGGAAGTGGAGGTTCCAGTGAGCTGAGATTGCACCATTGCACTCCAGCCTGGGTGACAGAGTGAGACTCCCATCTCAAAAAAAATAAATAGCAACTGAACATGCGATTTGGGTGGGGACACACATCCAGACCATATTATGCCTATACTCCCAGCACTTTCAGAAGCCAAGGTGGGAGGATTGCTTGAGCCCAGGAGTTCGAGAACAGCCTGAGCAACACAGTGAGACCCTGTCTCTACAAAAAGTAGAAAAAAATTAGCCAGGTGTGGTGCGTTCCTGTAGTCCCCTCCAAAAAAAAAAAAAAAAAAAAAAAAAAAACAGGGAAAAAAGAATACCAGAAACCAGAGCTGAACAGTAGTTAAAATGGTAAAAACAGATTTTATTCAGGAACTGTTGCAATAGGGTAAAGAGACCTCAGTATAGAACTGGGCTCAATTCTGAATACAGCAGGACAAGTGGAGACTTCCAACCCTGGAGCAGGTTGGAGTGGGGTGGGGAAGTGGGTGGCTGGGTGGAAAAATACCAAGGGGTGAGGGGTTCTGGTTGAACTGACTGCCAGGATCCTGGCTGAAGGCAGGCAAAAGTGATCAGAGGGCACCTGGCAGGTGGTGGGAGAGGAGGGATTTGATCCAATATCAAGGGTGGGGATTCTGGTTAAACTGACTTGACAGGATTCTTGCTATAGCTGGGCAATGCAGAGACGGGCACAGATGCTCAAAGGTCAAGGCTGAGTGGAGAAGAGGCTGAAGTCCCAACAAGGAAAGAGAAAGACCGTGTTTCCAGCCCTGCATGCTTCTCCATCAGCACCTGAGACCCCACTGCCACCTGCTCCTTCTCATTCCATTTTGAAAACATGGACTTGATCTAGCCCTGCCTGGTGGACACACGTTTGTGGGTGCCAGGAGGGAGGAATCTGCTCCTCCTTTCTGCCCTGACAGCCCCTAGTGGACAGTCACTCCCAGCAGGCCTTGCAGCTGCCAGGACGGGAGATTGTGGTGGACTACGAACTGGGACAGGGAGGACAGGCTTCTTCTGGAAGGGCAATGGGCAGGTGGTATCCTGGTCTTTCACAGTTGTGTCAAGGACCACAGAACCAAGCCACATTCTCCCCATGCTGATGTTCCCAAAGGGATCAGTTTCCTGCTGAACAGTAATTCCCATTTATAGGGAATTATTGGGCAGTGCCTCATGCCTGTAATCCCAGCACTTTGGTGGGTGGGGTAGGGGTGTGCTCAGGTGGGAGGATTGATTGAGCCCAGGAGTTTGAGACCAGCCTGGGCAACATAGCAAGACCTCACCTCTACAAAAAAATTAAAAATTATCTGGGCATGGTGATGAGAGCCTCTAGTCCCAGCTACTCAGGAGGCGGAGACAGGAATGAGCCCAAGTTTAAGGCTGCAGTGGCTATCACTGCACCACTGCATTCCAGCCTGGGCAATAGAGAGCAAGACCCTGTCTCACCTAAAAACAACACAATTCCAGTTTCCACAGCTTAACTCTGTCACCTTGAAGTCTTGTCACCTCCTACTTGGTTCCCTTAAACAGCCTTTAGATGGCTTCCTGCTGTCCATCCAGACCCCATGCCACACCCCCATCCACCTTGGCAAGTCATAACCTCCCCCCCTGCCTGATGCCTTTCATGGCCACCACGGACCCCCTACATGAGCGAGAAGTTGCAACCACAGGACCACTGAAGACCCCTGGATTTGCCCCCAGCTTCCACCTCAGGCTCTTGCTCAGGACAGATGCCCCCACAACCACTGCATCCCCTTCTCTGGCCACCTTTTGCACCTGTCCCCATGCAGGCCAGGGACCTCCTTGTTCTACCATCCCTCGATTCCTGGCTTGTGACTCTGAGGCTGCACCTCACGGATGGGACTTCATGGAGCCTTGCCCTACCCCAGGCCTGATGCCATGTGCTGGAGGCCCTGTTTGCCATGACAGCCAGCAGCCTGGTGCAGGAGCTTAAGCTGAGGCTGGAGTGGGGGGCTGCCTTCCTGGTTCCCCCACCCACATCTGTCACCCACCCTCCAGTGCCCTCCAGGGGAGAGAAAGCTTCCCCATAATAGGTCAGTCACTGGCTGGGCCGAGCAGCTATGTCCATATGGGTATCTGCTTTTCTTGTTCTTGCTGTTTCCTGCACAAGCCCAGGCAGGTGGTGTCTCTGGGGCAGACTGCCAGTCACCTCTCTCCTCCTTCCTCCTGCTCATGTAAGCAGGAGGGTCACAGGTGCTCCAGCCGCAGACATAGGCTGCTGGACCTCCTCTTTCCCTAAGCCGCCTCCAGTTGGCAGAAGTCCTGGTGACCTGCATGCGGGAGATGTGGGGGGCATACTCTGTTTTCAGGGATTTGTTTGTTTTTGAGATGGAGTCTTGCTCTGTCATGCAGGCTGAAGTGCAGTGGTGCGATCTCAGCTCACTGCAACCTCTGCCTGCCGGGTTCAAGAGATTCTCTTGCCTCAGCCTCCCGAGTAGCTGGGACTACAGGTGCCTGTCACCACGCCCAGCTAATTTTTGTATTTTCAGTAGAGATGGGGTTTCACCACGTTGGCCAGGCTGGTCTTGAACTCCTGACCTCAGGTGATCCTCCCACCTTGGCCTCCCAAAGTGTTGGGAATTTGAGCCACTGCACCCAGCCTGTTTTCAGTTTTTGATGGAATGGGATTGGATTCCTTTGTCTGATGTTCCTCATGTTTCCAGCCCACCAGGTGCCCTGTGGGGAGGCAGGTAATTGGCAGAACTTGTTTTATCTAAAACTCCACCCACCAAGTCAAAAAGGGGCATCAGGCCAGGGGCGGTGGCTCGCACCTGTAACCCCAGCACTTTAGGAGGCTGAGGCGGGAGAATCACTTGAGCCGAGGACTTCAAGATCAGCTGGGCAACAAAAAAAATAATAAATAAGCCAGGCATGGTGGTATGTGCCTGTAGCCTGAGTCGTTCAGGAGGCTGAGGTGGGAGGATCCCTTGAGCCCAAGAGTTGGAGGCTGCAGTGAGCTATGATTGCACCTGCACTCCAGCCTGAGCAACCGAGTGAGACCCTGTCTAAAAAACAAAAAAAAAAGGCAGCCAAAGGTAACCATCACTCACCCCCCACAAACAGTCAGGTTCCTGTTGCTACCTTATGGGGGAGTGTTGCTACCAGACTCCACTGGCCAGAACTACACCATGGTCTCAGGGCAGGCTGCTGAGCGGCAGAACTCGAAACACAGATCGATGAGTGAGTGATGCATTAAGGCCATGCTCCCAGGGGGTGCTGGAGTAACAGAAGCGGGCCAAGGAAGGAGAGGAAGTCAAGTAGAGATGCAGCCCCCAGCAAAATCCTGTAAGGGAGACTGGGCTTGGTGGTTCACGCCCCTAATCCCAGTGCTTTGGGAGGCTGAGGCAGGAGGCCTGCCTGATTCCAGGAGTTCAAGACCAGCCAGGGCAACATGTGAGACCTCCCCATCTCTACAAAACAATTTTTTTTGTAATTAGCCAGGTGTGGTCCTGTAGACCCAGCTACTCAGGAGGCTGAGGCAGGACTGCTTGAGCCCAGGAGGCTGAGGCTGCAGTGGCAGAACCACCGCACTCCAGCCTGGGCAGCAGAGTGAGACTCTCTCAAAAAAGAAAGAAAGAAAAAGAAATGAACCCCTGGCCAGGTACAGTGGCTCACACCTGTACTCCCTGCAGTTTGGGAAGCTGAGGTGAGAGGACTGCTTGAGCCTGGGAGTTTGAGACCAGCCTGGGGAAGAGTGAGACCTTGTCCATATAGAAAAAAAAAAAAAGAAAAGAAAAGAAAAGAAAAAGAAAAAATTACAGGCATGAGCCAGGTGCGGTGGCTCATGCCTGTAATCCCAGTGCTTGGGGAGGCTGAGTTGGGAGGATCACTTGAGCTCAGGAGTTTGAGACCAGCCTGGGAGAAAGAAAAGAGGGAAAGAGAGGAAAGAGAGGAAGGAAGGGAAGGAGAGAGAGAGAGGGAGGGAGGGAGGAAGGGAAAGGAAAGGAAGAAAGAAAGAGAAAGAAAGGAAAAGGAAGGAAGTGAAAGGAAGGCGGAAGGGGAAAGAAAAGGAAAAGGAGTGAAAGGGGAAAGGAAGGGAAGAAAAGGAAGAAAGGAAGGAAAGAAAAACAAAGAAAAGAAAGGGGAGCCCCATGGAAGGACACAAAATCCAGAGGTGAAAACACCAAGACAAGGACATTGTATTTCTGTATTTTATTTTTTGTTTCTGTTTCTCACTTACCAACACATGTGTAAAATGTAGCAGGTGTGTTAGTAAAGGAGAAGCAGCTGGGGAGAGAGGGGCAGGAATTAAGCAGCCACACGTGAAGAGTCAGGTGGAGCAGGAAGTGACTGGAGGCAGAGGTGGCAGGTGGCCTCCTCCCCACACCACCTTCCCACAAGGCACCAGCAACTGCTGCTGCTCACAGCCCCTGCCTCAGACGATTTGGTAAACGTGATAAAGAGCATTGCTCCCAATCCTTGTCCCAGACATTCTTCCCCCAGCCCCAGCCACGGGGCAGGGTCTGCTCAGGCAGCGCTCCAAACCCCCATAGCCTGACACAGGAGAAATATGCCCCAGTCTCCCCATGCCCACCCCTGGGCGGCATCTGAGAAGCACGAAGCTGGTGGAGTCCGGGGGCCACAGTGAGGCTACCCCAGAGCTCCTTCTGGGGGACCCTCCTTCCAGACTTTGGAGAGCTCTCCCAGAATGCCCTCTGCTTCAGCCACAGGCTCTTATTCAAGAGGACATTAATGGGGACTGGGGGGACTGGGGGACATGGCAGCAAAGGCCAAGAACCTGCCTCCAAAGCCCGCCAGAGCCCCTGGTTCCCTGGAGGGAAGGTTCCACCTTCCACCCAGAGCAGGACTTCCTGGCTTCGATTTGCACATTGACCCCGTGAATAGTCTGACCCTGTGTTGATGAACACAGGCGTTTTCATCAGAATTATACCCACCCTGATGAATTTTCATCTTAAAAAGTATTTTCAAGGCAAATGCCCCCGAGGACGATTCAATGACTTGATCAGTTTCTACATAGTGCAAACAAGTTTGCTTTCTCCCCGAGTATCTCCTTGGGATCATTTTCACCAGGATTGAAGCTTTTCCGTGTGTGTCTCACCACATCTTTGATTCCCTGGTAGGTGTCCTGTCTTCGTCCAGTGTCATTCACTGTCTCGCCACTGGGAGTTTTTCCTCTTTTGTAATAAGTCCAGTTTTCCCAGGGGGGAAATTTTTGGCAGGCCCCTCAAAGGGCAGAGAAACGTGTCCCGCGTGCTGTTTCAGCCCCAGTCTGCTTCTCTTTTGGCGGATGTTCTTTTTTTCTTTTTCTGGCGGCCAATCTGTGAACCTTAGTATTTCTCAGGGAATCCGGGAATGATGATGAGGATGGAAGCCTTTTATTCCAGGGATATTCCAGGATGCCTCCAGCGCCCACGAACCCGGGTCGAGGAGCTTTTCAGGTGGAGGCGGGTGGGGGATCCCCTTCCGACCAGGCAGCCCTGATCATGGCCTCACAGCGCCTTGTCTGGGGGCGCAGTGGCCGCTGCGGCCTGGTCCGCGCGGACCGGGCCGCCGAGGGCCGCGGGCCGTGAGGCGCGCAGCAGGCCAAGGCCCCGGGAGCGGCCCGCGCCGTGCAGCTGGCGCTCGTGGCGGCGGATCTGCACCTTGTGTCGGAAGCGCTCGCCGCAGTCCTCACACACGTAGGGCCGCTCGCCCGAGTGCGTGCGCCGGTGGCGCAGCAGGTTGGAGGAGACGCTAAAGCGTTTGCCGCAGTCCCCGCAGGCGTAGGGTCGTTCCCCCGTGTGCGTGCGCTGGTGCTGCACGAGTGCTGAGCTCTCGCTGAAGCGCTTGGCGCAGTAGGAGCAGGCGTAGGGTTTCTCACCGGTGTGGATGCGCTGGTGTGTCACCAGGTTCGAGTGCTGCGAGAAGCCCTTGCCGCACTCACCGCAACGGTGTGGCCGCTCGCCCGTGTGCGTGGCCTGGTGGCGCACCAGGTCAGTGCTGCGGCTGAAGCCCTTGCCACACTCCCCGCAGATGGTCGGCCGGTCTCGGGCGCGCCGTCGCCGCCGCTGCCGCGCGGGGGTCAGCGCTGCACTGCCCGCTGGGCCTGGGATGGCCACTACTGCCGGCGCGGCCACGGCGGGCAGCACCATGAGCTCCTGCAGCACCACGTAGCCCGGAGGGGCTACCACGACCGCGGCTGGAGCCCCGGGGACCGCCGCTCCGCCGCCTCCTGCGGCTGGCACAAGTTCAAGCTGTAGCTCCGGCTGCACCGGGGTTAGCTCCAGCTGCACCTCTTGCTGCTGGGCGCCCAGCTCCACCGGGGTCAGCTCCAGCTGCACCTCCTGCTGCTCCAGCTGCTGCTGCTCCAGCTGCTGCTGCTGCTCCAGCTGTTGCTCCAGCTGCTGCAGCTGCTCCTGCAATTTGAGCTGCAGCTGCCGCTGCTCCTGCTGCCGCTCCAGCTCCTGCTGCCGCTCCAGCTCCTGCCGCTGCTGCTCCAGCTCCTGTTCTGACCCCAGGTCCACCGGCATGAGCTCCAACTCCACCTCTTCCTCCTCCTCGGGCTCCAAGGGAGGAGGCTGCAGCTGTTGCTGTTGCAATTGTTCCTGCTGCTGTTGCTGCTGCTGCTTCAGCTGTTCCTGCTGCTGTTGGAACTGTTGCTGCTGTAATTGTTCCTGCTGCTGTAGCAGCTGCTGCTGTTGTAACTGTTCCTGCTGTTGCTGCAGCAGCTGTTGCTCTTGCACTTGCTGCCGTAGCTGTTCCTGCTGCTGCAGCAGCAGTGGCTGCACTTGCTGTTGTAACTGTTCCTGCTGCTGCTGCTGCAGCAGCTGTTGCGTTTGCACTTGCTGCCATAGCTGTTCCTGCTGTTGCTGCAGCAGCTGTTGCTCTTGCACTTGCTGCTGTAGCTGTTCCTGCTGCTGCAACACCTGTGGCTCCTGTGCTTGCTGCAGCTGCAACTGCTCCTGCTGCTGCTCTTGCACTGGCTGTGGCTGTGGCTGTTGCTGCTGGTACATTAGCTGCAGTTCTGGTTTCAGTTCCTGATGGTGCATGGATAGGTGTTTTTCCTGTAGTTGAGACAGCTGCTGGTGCCCATCTTGCTGCTGCTGCTGCAGTTCTGGGTGTGGCTGTGGCTGTTGAAGCTGCTCACGCTGCTGCTGCAGCTCGGACTGCTGTTCTGACTGCTGCAGTGGCAACTCCCGCTGTCCTGGCTGGGCTTCCTCAGCGATTTCACTGGCCCCCACCAGGGCTGAGACTGCTGGCCGCTGTGGACTGCTGCTCCCCTCCTGAGGCTCTTCCTCCTCCTGACTCTCGCTCCCACCACTGCCACCTGTAGAAGAAATGGCAGGAAGCCAAGAGAGAAAGATCTACAGGAAGCTCTCTGGTCCAGACCCCAGGACCTGCCCCTTAACCTGCCCTCAAAGACACACTAACACACTCTTAGCAGGAGCCCAAAAGTGCTGGATTAAGTAACAATAGCAGCCCAGCAGAAACTAAAATGCTGCAGGGGAGGGGAGTGGCTTGGAAATGTGCCCAGGTAGCCAGGTGTGGTGGCTCATGCCTGTAATCCCAGCACTTTGGGAGGCCAAGGTGGGCAGATCAGGAGGCCAGGAGATCAAGACCATCCTGGCCAACATAGTAAAACCCATCTCTACTTAAAAAAACAAAAAATACAAAAATTATCCAGATGTGGCAGTACATGCCTGAAATCCCAGCTACTCGGAAGGCTG